AATACCTGTATCCATCTGCTGTCATTTAAGAGGAAAGGTTATGGTTCACATGTTGAAAAGGTAATGTGCCTTGGCTTTCTGATTTATAAACCTTTTTTGTACTTCACCTCAAAGATTTCAGCATTTCAAAGGCTAGTGAAGTAATCACTATATATAGCTTTTTATCAGTTTTTGTAAAGTGGCTTAGAGTGAAAGGTACTCTTAAACGTGATTTCATTTTTCCTTTACTGAAGGACAAATTGAAGGACTAGGGGTTTAGAAGCAGCTGAACTTAGTACCTATTAGACACTTGATCAATATAAAACCATACAGTCATTATACTAGAGGACATATGCTGGTGGAGACTGTTCCCATTATAATGGTGTAAGAATGGATAACTCCCTTTGGGAGTGTTGTAATTTTTAGATAATTAGCATCAAGTCTCTTCTATTTAGCAAATGTTTTGTTTCACAACCCTCTCTGCTGACTTCAGTGTTCTGGCTGGGGTGGGAGAGTATTTTGCCAGCTCATCATCCACTTCTATTTTGGAAACACTGTATTTGATTCATAACTTTACTATATCCTTTACTTAAATGTAGTATGTGTCCACCATTTTGGACTTCCAGGTGTGTCTCCACATTTCAATCACATTGAGAGGCCAATTCTTATACTGTACATTAAGAAAATCTGTCAAATTTTATGACATGTCTGGGAGAGATGTGTCACTGTCATCCTCTAGATCTGTGTGAAAAAAGGAGATGTAAGAGAATATGACACAAGACTTTGACCAGTGTATAAATGAGGGCCAAGAGCCCTACTCTGCTCCCATGGCTTGGGCAGCCAGTGGTCAAGGCAATGGTGTGACCCTGGGTGAGGCAGCTGAGGAGTGCTTTGTGAGAAAGCTGTAAGAAACCTCTTTCAGGCTCCCCAAAGCGGTTTTAAGGTCTAATATTCCTACTTGGCTTTTCCTGGATCTGTTCCAGCCATGCCTGTGCCTTGCCAGAATCTAATGAAGATTCTGATCTCCCAGCTTGACTTCCTGGCTTGACCTCAGACTTGCCTTAGCACTGTCACTTGTCCAGCAATCTCTGGGATATGCTGACTTTGGTTGCTGCCACCAGACCTGCTCTGCTCTGCTTCATAGTTTGGGTTTGGTGGCATTTTGTGTCCCTGCTGTTTCAAAAACCCATTTACCAAACAATGCTCATGTGCTGCTCCTTCCAGCAGAACCATGGTTTCCAGCTCCTAAAATCTTCTGGAATGCTGGACTTTGTTGGACAGATTTGGAAATTAGAAACTGAAAATATTCTGATTTTGAAAATATCTTGCCTGGAAACCAGGCTGCCTTTCCTACTGATGACTATCTTTCTTTTTAAAGTTCAAGCTTTTACATCTTCTGTTCATTGCTGAAATGTTCATTTGAAATAAGCCACAGTTGGGGCCTTCTAAAGCTATATTCTATTAACAAATGGTTGCACATTTTCTTTGGCCTCCAGATAATGCTTTCTTTCATAGTTACTGACGTGAAATGCTTTTTCTCCACCTTTTCTTTTCTCTTCACATAATAAAATTTGTAAAAAAATTAGTTTTAAAGAAGTGGACAAAAAGCACCCAAGTTTCTTTTCTTTAATGATTATGTTTCTTGAAAAAATTCAAACACACTTTTTCTGTAGCACCTTGTAACTCAGAATCCAGTAGTATCAACTATCACTTTAATGGAAGTCAGTGACTTTGTGGTTCTGTATTCTTTAGTGGCTATTAATCAGTAGGCTCTTGCTGAACAGTGATTATTCAAGAGGTTTTATTGCCTTTGTGGGTTTAATTCCTGTGTTTGAATAACTCAGGAAGTCACATTTCTTATGTAAGCAGCAACAAAAACCTCATCCAGAACTCAGAGTGTCTTCACACCATTTCGAATTTAAGAGAAAATCAGCTTCATTTGAATGTCATTATAAACTGTGCTGGTGATTGTGGTTATGGAAGAGTGCCATTGGAACATGAGTTACTTTGCTGAAATCACTGCTTGGATACACAGAGGCTCAACATCTTCTGTGTAAAAGAGGCATAGAGATTGACTGATGGATTTGGTTTTGCTTGGCTTTAAAAAGAGGTTTTCAGAAAGCATTTATTCCAGGCAATAGTTGAACCTGCAGCCTCCCAGGCCATGTCTCTATGTTTCATTTTAGCATGGCCCTGCCAGGCTGGTAATGTGTCAGATGCTGCCTGGGACACTCAGGAGTTCACAAATAAAAACCCATAATTTAAGATCTCCCTTATGACAGCTTGGTCTCCAGAACTGGATTTCTTACCTTCCAAGTTACTTGTGCAGGTAGTAGCTGTCACCAGCCCTGACATTAGCCTTCTGTGGAAGCTGACATTAGCTACTGTTGGGTTTGAATCAGAATGAATCCTGCTCAGAGAATCATGGATGTGTTTTACCTCTCTCCTGTGTCATCTATCCTCACAGAATGGCCAATTGCATGTGAAGCTTCTTATTATCTTCCCTGCCTCACTCCACCCCACCCCTCCCCAATTAATTTTCTCTGATTGCATTTAGTTAAAACACAGCAAACTTCAGTTATGCATTTATTTATCATATTCCCACCAAAAAGTCATTGTGGTACTCACTGTAAATATATGTAAAAGATACACCCTCAATGCCCTCAGAATAGTGCTATAGAAAAGATGTGGCCCGAAGAAATAGGGGGAGGCATCAGGTTACATTGGGGTTGGTGGCCAAGCTGGAAGCACATTGGAGGTTTCTGTATCCTAGCCTGGCCTCAGCCTGCTTCTCCAGCTGCAAGATTCACACAAGAGTTCAGGCATCACCTGCGCCCTCAGGATTTCACTTGGTTTTGCTTTGCTGAACTTTCTGTTAAGCTGCTGGAGAGGCAAAGTATAAATGCAGTTGGAAATTGGTCTATCTAACACTGATGATAACTCATGCATGGCTAATTTTCCTGAAGGGAGTAAAGGAGGATTTCTGTTTTTAAATGGAATTTTGCTCACTGTTGAACATCAGGATATTGAGTCACCTATATGACTATATTCCTGATTTCTGAGGTAGATCATTGAAACCACATCTCCTCCATCTTCTGTCATGAAAGGTTTTGAGAAAAAACAAATGCAAACATGAGATAATATATCCTGTCTAAGACCTGGCTGTTTTCCCAATGCCATTTTGCAATTGTAAGAGACCTTTTCCATAAGAGAAGTTACAGGCTTGAACGACTCATCGAGCATTGTCTGAGTGCTGTCGTTTGCCTGGGGCAGACCTTTAACATAAACACAACAAAGATGATCGTGGAAGCGTTGGTTGGACATATTTAAGCGCTCTTGGAATTCCTCCTTCCTGAATGATGTTTTAAGTGAGACAGCCGTGGGCAAAGCAAAGGAAGATGTTGTTCCTTTTAAGGAGAGCAGTTCAGCCTGGCGTGAAAGGGAGGATGGAGAAGGCCTGGTCGCTGTCCGGAGCCGGATGCGCGGCCGCGCTGCCCCCGCCCCGAGCCCCGTCCCGCAGCCGAGCCGCGCCGCGGGTGCAGTTGCGGGCAGCGCCCTCGAGGTGGCGCCGTCAGGCCGAGGCTGAGCGGGGCTCCCGGGCGGGCGGAGCGGCCGCGCCGGGGCTGCGCTCCCGCGGCTCCGCGGGCCCGGCGGCGCGGGGCATCCTCGGGCAGTGGCGTGTGCTGGGCAGAGCCGCTGGGAGCGGAGCAAACTTCCAGAGCCGTACGGCGAGGTGCTCCCGGCCGTGGCCTCGGCTCCGCGCTGCCGAAACCTCCCTGGTGTCGGGGGGTAAATGGGAACTCCGCCACCCGGCATCAGAGCTGCGAGCCAAAACCGGGGTCGGGACAAAGAGCCTCGGGAATCTTATCCTGTGTTATCGATCCTGTGGGGGGGGACACGACTCCGCCGCCCGCGGAAGGCGGGATGGGGATGGAGGCTCCGCACCCGCGGGGAGACCGCGTTAAACAGCCCCGGCCCGCGCCGGTGATCCCTCTGTGTCCCTGTCCTCGCTCCCGCTCCCCCGGTGCCACAGCCTCAGCCTTCACCGGCTTCCCCTGCTCCGAGATCCCGCGGCCGCGTCTGCCGGCACCGCGCCCCGGGCGGAGCGGCTGTGCCCGGGAGGGCGGTGCCGAGCGCGGGCGGGGGGGCCCGGAGCCGCAGCCGCGACCGGCTGGGGATTCACGTGGGGCCGCTCCGTGCCGTGCCGTGCCGCGCTGTGCCGTGCCGAGCCGAGCCGTGCTCTGTCCTACCACGGAGCGTCGCCTGCTTCAGCACCAAGAACAGCTACAAGTGTGGCTGCGCGCCCGCCCCGCTTAGCCGTGCCCTGCCGCGCCGCGCTGAGCCGTTCCGTTCCGTGCCGTGCCGCGGTTCCGTGCCGTGCCCGTCCCACCAGAGCCGCGGTAAGCGCAGGCAGGGCCGTGCCGCTCCCACCGACGCCCGGGGGCTCCGGGCCGAGGGCTCCTGGCGCCGAGCGCTCCGCCGGCGCGGGGGCCGGGCCGGGGGCGGGGGCTGAGGTGTTTTCTTGCTTGGCTGTGAACGGCTCAGCCGGGCCGGTGCGTGTGTCCGCCGCTGCGACTGAGCGGCAAGGCAGCGGAGGGTTGGTATAGTCACGGGGGCTGAGCCACTGACCCCAAAAAGTTACCTTGTGGATTGTTCTTTTTTTTTTTTGGTGTTTTTGGGTTGTTTTTAGAGTAGGGAAGGAGAAGTGAGGAAGGAGTCAGTGGAGCAAGTTCGGCTTGGCTGTTCGCGAGTGTTAAACAGCACGACTGACACCGCTCTCCTGGATACCTGTCCCAGGCTGAGCTCTCGCATATTAAGCTGACGCTGCTGAGGGGAGCTGTCTGAGACGAGGCTGGTACAGAAATTACCTCATGCCATTCCCGACCTACACCGAGTATACTTCCAGGGACCTCCACAGTAACATGGATATGCAACTCTTTTCGATCAAGGTATTTGTGTATTATCTGTGTGTGTCGTCTTTAGTTCTTAATTTAAGCATTCAGGAGAAGGCAAATAATGCGCGTTTTGCCTCTGTTAAGATTTTTGGGCTGGGAATCCCGGGCAATCCTCTCCGCTTGCTTCGTGGCGCCGGGAGCTTTTATTTTTTTGGCGTTTATTATTTATCATTTTTATTGTCGATATCCTCCCCCAATCAGATCTAACTAAAGAGATCCCGGACACGGTGCCGTCACAGCAGCGAGCAAAAAGGGAGAATCTCGGAGCTCCCGAGTAGCGAGGTCTCCCCTCGGCCGTCTTAGCCGGGTCGTCTCCCACCCCCCGGGGGAGGGGAGTTCAGGGGTTCCCCCGCTCTTCCCGCCACCTTGTTCGCGTTTCGCTGGCCGGGAGGGAGGAGGGGGCTTCCGCCGCCCCGGGGGCACGGGCCAGCCCTGCCCGCCGCCACCAAGTTCTCCGGGGCCGGGTCGGGCGAGGTGCCAGCAGCCAGCCCATACCTTGCCGGGTGGGCTCAGCTTCCTTGGCTCCGCCGGGGACACCCCCGCGTCCCTGGGGACGGAAGGGGCAGGAGGATCCCCGCCGAGCTCCGGGGGCTTCTTCCCCCGAGGAAGAGGGCGAGAGGCTGTACCGGCAGGAGGCGAGGGCTTAACTATCCTCGGCGTGGAGCAGCATCCCCAGCGCTGGCATGTGCTGATCGCAGGAATGCGAGGTTTTGGCAGGTGGATGTATGACACGGTTAAAAAATCCAAACCAAACAAGCCAACCAACAGCAACAAAAACCAGATAAATAAGAAAATGAAACGCAAAACCCGTACAACACAAGTTGTAAAAATCAATCAGTAACCCAAAGTGTATGGAAATCCAGCGTTGGCGTTTTGGAGTTTGCAAGCTTCGGACCTCTGGGACCAGGGATTCATTAAAAGAGACTTAGGTTTGCATCGAGGGGGGAGCAGAAGCTCATTAAAGCTGACTAGTTGATGCAAGGAGAGGAAGGAATCACCGGCGGCTGGAAATAAAAGGCGACGTTTGTTTTTGCATCGCCGCTGACTGAGGTGCAGCGCTCCCGGCCGGGGACCAGGGCTCGGCGGGGAGCGGCGGAGCCCTGGCTCCAGCCGGGAAATCCGTATGTGCCCTCCGTCCCTCGCCCCCGGGCCGCCTGGGCTGCCAGGCCGCGGCGGGAGGCGGCTCGAACCCGTCCTACGGCCGCTCGCTGGAGGGAGCGAGGCTGCGGGGAGAGCCGCGACGAGGCTGTGCCGGAATCTCTCCACAGCACACGCCAGCCGGGGTACGGATGAGCCTGGGAAGAGACAAAAAATAATAAATCGCTCGGCTAAGTAAAGTGGAGAACAATAGGGGGCTCCCTTCAAGGGAGAAGCGCGGCGGTGATGGGCGATGGTCGCGGAGTTGCGCGGGGAAGCCGGCTCGCCCAGCCCGGGGGCGCTCCCCGGGCCCCTCCGCTGGGCGGGGCCGGCCTGGCTGCGGTAGCCCTTCCTCGGGCCGGGAAAGCTGCCCGGCACGCCGAGAGCCGGGGAAGCGCGGAGGAGCGGCGCGGAGAGCCGGTGCGTGGCCGGCTGCTGGCTCCCGCCGGTGTGCGCCGGCGGCGGGCGGAGGCGGGCGGCGGGGCAGAGAGCGGCGGCGGGCGCGGGGTGCGGAGCGGGGTGTGGAGCGGGGAGCTGAGCGCGGTGGGTGCCGAGTGCGCGGGTGCGGTGCAGGGTCCGGGAGTTCGCTGCGGTGTGCCGTGCGGAGGCGCGGGTGCGGTTCCCGGAGCGCTGTGCGGAATGCACGGGCGCGCCATGCGCCGGATACGGAGAGCGGTATATGGAGAGCGGGATATGGAGCGATGCTCGCCGGGGGGCACTCGCCCGGGGGACTCGCCCGCTCGCCGGGGCCGTGGCCGGGGTCGGGAGTGCACACAGTGGGGGACTTTCCTGCCGGGTGCCCCGGGACGATTTCGGCGTGTGGCTGCGTTTTTGGGGGCAAAGTCGCTCTTGCAGAGCACCGGACTGCACCAGCCGCGCCTGCTCTGAGCACAGCTGTGCGGACTGGGGAGCGGGAGTCCGGTGGGAAGAGGGTCAAATGAAAGCAGAAACAACAAAGAAGGCTCTCCTAGGGTGCCTGGGAAAATCTTGATCATCATTTGCTAGACCAGAGCTGAAGCCTTTCTCTGAAGGTGTTAATACTGACGGGGTTCATTAAAAGTCCAACCAAGGGCAGAGGAAAATACTCAATGTAGTTTTCTTTTTAAAAATTGTAGGCTCCACTTAGTCTCACCCCAGCAGAAGGACCTGTGTTGGATTTTCACAGGGTAGCTTGTTTGGTAAAGGGATATTTGCAGTGTAGGTGTTGTGGGGTATTTGAAAAGGGGCTGATCAGGCTGAGGGTAGACATCAGTCTGCACAGGGAGAGATAGTTCCTGTAAACGAGATGCTGAAAGTGATTCGCCTTGAAGTCCTGATTATTGTGGAAAGGTTACCTCTGTGGCAGGGGCACAGCAAACCATTACAGAAGAGCCGAGGTAGATAAGACTACTTACATCAGTGAAGAATTCTCTTGCAAGTTAGGAGTTGCGATGTCAAGGCCAAAGGTTTTCCAAATTCCCTTTTGTTGTCAGCAAAACCCATTAATCTTCTATATGTGTCAGGCTACTGTGTGAAGGTGGCAACTCTTTACCTGTTCTGTGTGGAAATTCAGCTATTTTCTCATTGAGGAATGCTGTACAGGAGAAAGAAGCAACTTTGTGAACATTGATATGAATGTTAACAAGAGAATTTTTTCATAGTTCAGTGGTGTCAGTAGTAAAACCTCAAAATAATCAAATTTGGGGATTTTTTTCCTCCTCAGAACTTAATAATGGAATTTATCATTGTTTTGTTTTCATTCAGTAAAACCAGATCAGTTTTGTATTGACTGGACAATCTGATATTTTGTGAATGGGTTTTCACTCTAGAACTTCTTGTATCGTAGTTCACAGAATATTTGCTTTATTTTATCTTGGTACTGTTGCAACCATGCTTTAAATACAATGAGATTAGGATTTTTGGCTCAAAGAAAATTCTAAACATTTTCTTCTGAGGTATTTTTTCTCCTCACTTATAGCTTATTTTGTCCCTGAGTAAAGGGTTCATGTATGTCTGTCTGGCAATGTCAGCTGTAAAATATCTGTCCTACCTATGCTTCAGAGACTACTCCTTGCTCCTGCTGCTGTCTGTAAATTGTGAGATTTTAAAAACTATTTCCTGATGGACATTTTGAATCTTTCTACATGGTTTCAGCGAAAGCTTCAGTGCCAGCTGAAGAGGCTCTTTCAGGAACCTTGTTAAAAAAATAGAAGCATTTTCTGTATTTATTTAAGTATTTATCTGTCACTCAAGCCATTATTTAGACCTTTTCATTAACATAAATAGGTTCCATAATGAGCCAGTCTTTTAGTGCAATGAGTCTGTGGTTGGAGTAACGACTGCTCTGGGTTCATTCTCATGCACTGGTTCTGGCAGTGTGGTACAAAAATACACAACCTTGAGTACCAAATATCTCATAAAGCTGAATGATTTTATGAAGGAAGTAATTTCAGAACCAGACACTACATGCACAAGTTTCCATCTCCGCTGTCTTGCAGTACTCCGCCTCCTTAGGTTTAAAAATAAATATATATTCTAGCAGAACAAGTGGAGGTTTGTGCTGAAATACTGACTTTAAAAATAGCAATATGTTCTGATAATGCCAGATATTTTTAATGAAATAAACCCAAGAGAAGCATGTATTACAAGGTGACTGGAAGAGATGCTTTGTGGTGCACTTACTCTCGGGCTGTGCAGGGGAAATATATGAATTTCTTCTCTGAACTAAAGTTTCTAGTGAACACCAGCTACTACAGTGGGGAACCTGGTAAATCAAGAATATATTTGCATTAATTCAAACTTTTATGGTCTTTTGGAAAAGGACAGCATTTTACTTCAAATGAAATCTCTGCACATGAGAAAAGTTCATTCAGGCTTTATAGCCCAGAGGCCCGTGCTTTTTCACTAAAATTCATTGATAAAAATGGAATTAATTTAGATCATATGCTTTCTGCTTAGCTACACAGACTTGAAATGTTCTGTAAAAGGTAATGTTAATCAATATATAAAAAGCAGTGTGCCATGAATAAATTAGGCAGTATAATAGAAGCTTTTATTTCTTAGGTAACATTAAAAAAAGACTAAAAGGTCTTAAATTTTTAAAAAGAACACTTTAAAATTTTATTTCTGTTTTATAGACAAGCAGTGGACACTTGCAGCTAAGAAACATGCTTCTTCAGGAAACCATGCAAGCTGAGGCAAGGCAATTAATGCTTATGAAGGCTATAATGGTGAAAAATGCTAATTGCCAATTCATTTGATTTTCAGTCTGTTCCAGATAAAGTATTAGACTGACGATCTTGGGCTCACTGTAGCCTCTCTGTTGTTGTTAGAATTTAGGTTGCAATAGCTTAATCCATCACTATTTGTTGCATGAAGACTGACACTTGCTTTCATTTCTGGGCATTTTTTAGCTGTGAGGAATTAACCTGCGGCTGAGAAAAAGGAAAAAAAAGCGGCTCTTTCCTTCAGGAGTATTTTCCCTTTGTCAGTGATGCTTTCTTGTTCTCCATATAGTGTTAAATAAGAGTAGTCTCATCTTATATTGCCTTAGTGAATTTCTCCCTGGCTGGTTTGTACATACGTGCATGGACCACTGAGTTCATTGTGGAGCCATGAAGCAAATTACCTCCATACCTATTTTAGGGCTACTCTTTACTATTTTGAACCCATAACTGTTTTTTTTTCTGCTAAGGCAATTGAAACAACAGATAACTGTGGCTAGTTAGTAGTTCAATCTTTTCTTTGTAATGTGGACCATATGAGAAATATCCCATGGGCCTGGATCAAATTGCACTGCAGTGTGAGTCAAGTTGTTCAGTTTGTGAATGACTGACTTTGGCTCACAGGGCTGGAGCCCAGGCACCTTTGTAACCTGTGTGTCTAAAAAGAGCCAAGGGAGAGTGATGGGATTATCACAAAAAACAGCACAGATTTTGTGTCACTTGGATTGAACTCTGAGCCAAATTCAAGCAAAACTAAATGTCAAGAGGTGCACTGATTTTATTCATACCCATCAAATGTTTCATTTTCAACTGTTCATTTTCACGGTGAGATAGTTTCACATTCAGTAAAAGACTTTCCATTGTGAATCCTCTTCTCAGGTCTTCAAATAGCCATCATTTGAAGACTACTTCAACTTTTGTGAGTTTAGTATTATCATGGAAGGAAATAATGTGACAAAATTAGTGTAAGAAGAGAATTATCAATTTAAAGCATTATCAAAGTGCATTTTGAGTTTTGTTACCACATGATATGTAAAAGCTTTGTGGTTTTGTCTCTATTTGTCATCCAGCGTGACCATATTTTTGGTAGTAACCAGTCAGATCACTAAGGAAAAAGTAAATATTTACAGATGAGCCTGATGCCTGGATTTTCTGTACAGGCAGTGATATAGACACTTGTTCAGTGTGATCAATTCCATAGCAAGTAAAACTTTTGTTAAAAAAAAAAGGAATAAGATAAAGTGTACCCTAGGATGTCCACTGCTCTCCATAGCCTGTAACAGATGTATTGAGAGACTGGTTCAGATGCAGTTGCCCACAGTGTGCCTATCTAATACCAGGTAAATTACTTCTCGCTTTCTTCTCCTCAGAGGTTTAAAAATTTATTCAGGCACGTATAATTTTGTTAAGAATTGAAATAAATAAATGCCTTCACTTGAGAATTAAAGTGTGGGCAATTTGGAGATATTTATAACAGTCAGTCAGGTGTTTAGATATGTAGGCTGAAATCCTCATCTCGTTAAAATCAGTGGGATCCCTCTAAATGTCAGTGCAGGCACAACATTGTTCCTATTTAATGTGGTCCAAATGCAAGCAGAGAATAGAGAAAATAGACCTTGTTAATGTTAAACCTCAGCTCAAGTCAAATGTTGAAAAAGGAACATTGGATGTTTAGCTAGTTTCCCAACATAATATGTTGTGTTCTTTTTACTTGAGAAATCAGCTACCTTTTCATAAAAATAATTTAGTGTTAGACATTATCTTGAAGGAGATTTAAATATATAGTTAGGCCCCCCTCAAAGTGAATTCCATTGGAGAAATAATCAGTCTCACATCCAAATGAATTGAATGTGCTTGTACTGCATTGGGTGAAGGGTGTACTTAAATCCAGGCGCCCTGATTACTCCATTGTCATAAATGAGACCTCTCCAGGAGTGAGAGTGTAAGTGGTTATTGCTCTTCTGTAGGCTGGAGCAGAATAATGACGTTGAACAGAATAATGCAGCAAAACAGAAAATACAGTGTGTTATGGATCAGGTCTGTTTCTGGGTGCCATGCAACATGAAGGTAAATATGAATTACTGCTCAGAATCTGAACACCAAGCTAAGTTTAGTTCCCCTGATTCGGCTCTTGCTCTGCTGGCATCATCAATTTCCTGGCTTATAGTACAGTGCAGCCAGGTGTTCAAATTCACTGAAGGCCAAGATTTGCTAAGTTAAAGAACATTGAAAGTAAAACCTAGGTGATGTAACTGCTATTCAAAAGTAAATACACTGTGTGACAGGTATAAAACTGCTGAAGTAAATGGTACTTCTCACTGTTTTTTAATTTTTTTTTTTCCAGAAGTACCTCAGCTGTAGGGCAAAATACAAGGACATAAGCTACTGACCTCCTTTTAGCATCAGGATCAGACGTACTACCCTACTCCTCACCATCAATTAAGAGCAATTGAAAATCCGCCTCAGAAAAGCTGGTCAACCCGTTCTGTCAGTGGACATCTTTTGTAAAACACATTTTATGTACTTCTGCTGAGATCTTCTTTTCTACCTACCCACCGCATGGTTCTATATTACTTATTGGGCACTGATGGTAGCCTCCAGAAAGTGCAGCTTCAAATGGTCAGCCTCATCCTTTAGCAAGAAGAAAACCTGGATACTGGATAGCAACAACGTCTTCAGAGAAAATGGTATACGAAGGCAAACGATTGGTTTCCTGCCATTGTTTCTTCCTGTTGACAGCCAAGTTCTACTGGATGCTCACTCTGATGCAGAGGACTCACGGCCAGGAGTATGCCCACTCCATTCGCCTGGATGGGGACATCATCCTGGGAGGACTGTTCCCCGTTCATGCAAAAGGGGATAGAGGGGTGCCTTGTGGGGAGCTCAAGAAGGAGAAGGGGATCCACAGACTAGAGGCAATGCTGTATGCAGTTGATCAAATTAATAAAGATCCCGATCTTCTTGCCAATATCACCTTGGGTGTCCGCATCCTCGATACGTGTTCCAGGGACACTTATGCATTGGAGCAGTCCTTAACATTTGTGCAAGCGTTGATAGAAAAAGATGGTTCAGACGTCAAGTGTGCAAATGGTGACCCACCTATTTTCACTAAGCCAGACAAGATATCAGGTGTGATAGGTGCTGCAGCAAGTTCTGTGTCCATTATGGTCGCAAATATTTTGAGACTCTTTAAGGTAAGTAACATTTTCTGTGGCTTTTTTTTTTTTTTTTTAATTTCAAGAACAATGAAATAAGTTAAGTGATTCTGTTGTCATACCTTCAAAAAAGAAAAGACACTTTTCACATTAAAAAATCTGAAATGGTTGGTTTTCCCTTTCAAAGCAGAGCGGGGAAAATACCTAAAAGCAGTGTTTGCAGACTCTATTTCAAGGTACCAAGCACTTCTCTTAAAGTTTCTGAGCAATCTGTGCACATTTTAACTCTTTAGGAATTTGTATCTTTACTTTTATACTACTCAAATTTGCTCCATGTTAAGCATTTATGCTCACCAAGGCTGGGTTAGGATTAATTTCCCAAATTTCCAGGAGAATGAAAAGTAAGATTTTAACACAAGTAAATCTTTTGGAGAACCAGATAATTTCCTTACATAGAAAGATATGCCAGTAATAATCTAGTGCTACTGATGTTCATGTCTAGCCAAATGAAATGTACTGTAAAATCTTTGATTTTCTTGAAATTTTTCCTCCTACGTATTTTCTGCAAGGTGATATTTTTTACAGACTTTGTTATCACCTTGTGAGAGATTATTTTTAGGCAACAGTTCTAGTGGCATTTGTTTCCAAATACTTTATGAAGCTCAGACATTCTAGTTAATGGAAAAGTAAACCTGCCACTTGTAAATTACCCAAGTTAGATGGGAAGATGAACACATTCTAATCAATCAACTTGGATGGAAATGGTCAGGCAGCAGATATTTAACTTTTAATCCTTTATGCAATGCCAAGCAGATGATGGTAAGTTGAGCACTTTTTTCTATGTGCAAAACAATTGTAACTTATGTCTGAATCTATTACTGTCCTACCACCCACTGTTCCTTTCATCCATTCAGAAATCTTCCCTTATTTCATACAACTTTAGAATCACCAAAACCCACTTAAAGACCATTTCTTGGACTTTGGTGCAGAAGATTCCGATAATGTTTAATATTGCTGTTATGTATTTTGAAAAGTGTTGCACTTGTTTCCTAATTGTTGTAACTGAGATTGATTAGTAGTAGAGAAAGATTGGCCTTTTTTTATGGTTTCTCAGCAAAGTGCATTTCAGTCATTTGAATGGAGATTTTAGTCCTTCCTTTTGGTTCTCCCTCGAAGGAAATAATGATGGATTTACAGTTCAGTGGAGGAGCAAAGTGACTGCTGAGTTGTGGTCAGGTGTTCCTTTCAGTCTCAAAACTGATGCTCAGCTGCAGATACTGCACAGGTTTGAGAGCAGTGGACTAGTTCTAGCCAAATGTTTTACTTGGTTTTGATTTTACTTGTTACAAGTACACAAAACTGAGCTAAAAGACTTAAAAAATGTTCTATATGGAGAGCACCTCTGGAGTTGTGCCTGGTGGGGAAGTTTATCTGTCCTGGGAATCATCAGGCATCTTGCAGGAGATGTCTATTTTTCAGTTCACATCCTTTTTAGAAGTTGTGTCATCCTATTAAATAATGCATATTTATGAAATAATGATAGATGGAATGGTCACTTTAATACCGGTTGCAGTGCAGGGCCATGTAGACTACAACTTACACCCAGTTTTGAGTTGAATAGGGTTCTATAGACTGATTTAAGAAACTAAGCCTGGTAAGACATGCATTAACTCTGAATTAAGAGCAGCAAGAAGGAAAGAGGCCCATGAATTGTCTAAGATAGCAGCAATTTGTCTTCTGAAACCTTGACAGCTACCTCCTGATTTACATTATGCAATAAGATTGCAAATAACATTCTACTGCAGTCTTAATCAATAGAGGGTCATGTGATATCCCCTCTAGGGAAAGATCTTATTTACCCATTTAATTGATGTAACACAGCTGCTGGCAAAAGGAGGAGACATCTCTTTTAGTTTTAAATATGAATCCTGCACAAATATTCTTAATAATGTAAAAAAATGATAAATTATACCCTTTCATGTCTGATGACGGACCAGCATGTGAAATCTGTTTTTACACTTTCCTCTCAGAAGTGAATCTCTTCATGAGTAAAGGCTTCTGGATAAGGCTTTGGATTAGAAGGACGGTAGAAACCACTCACAATGGTTATAGTCAAGAGGATTAGGAAATTAGGGGTCATTTTCCAGAAACTTAGATGTATAATTCAGTTTGGGTGTATTCAGACCAAAGACATAGGCTGAAATTCTCAGCTGATGCACACAGCTTTGTGGCTGAGGACCTGGACCTTGGCCAGTGCTCATAGAGGCTCCAGGCATGAAATTGTGTTTACTGTTATCTTGGTATGTGTTGAGGTGGGACCCTCAACTGGGGTGAATGTCTGTGCTTGCATTGAAGTCAGCAACCACCATCGTGCAAATGCCTATTTCCATTTTATCCAGGATGAGTGTGATTCATCCAAATTTCTGTTTAACAGTGCTATTTGGAAAGTTAAACCTGTAATTTGAAGTTCAGTATTGCTTTAATACCTGCTCTGAAGCTCCTAAATGTCAGGACTACATATTTTTGAGAACATTATTCTCTGGCAAAATTTTAATTTGTAATGAAATTGTGAGAAGCATATTATACCTCTCAATGTGAATACACAAAGATAGTCTAAGAAGTGCTACTCTCAGCAGTTTGAACTTTTATGCTGCTATTTTTCTTTTTCTTGCAATTTTTTTTCTTTCTTTTATTGATTTTATGACAGAAAACATACAGGTCAATAGTTCTATCTGATGATCTGGTGGATAGCACAAACTGATAGTAAATGTATTCTTTTATCTAAGTGTTTCCATGAGAAGAGGGGAGGGAGGCCACCACAGAAAATGACCCCTATCTACAGCCTTTCTCCTGATCAAATGTCTTACCTTGAATTCATGTCTCTCCTTTTTTGTTCTGTGAATTTTGAGGTGCCTTGATGCTTAACAGGTGATTTTCCATTGGTCTTACCCTTAGTAGGGCCAAAACATTAAGGCACAAATTAGGACAGACTAAATTTCACCCACTGATGGTTTTAGACTTTCCAGGAGCACTTTACATACAGGAAACACTGGAGCATAGAATTGTGTGAAAGTCGACCTGTTATTTCTTGATTGTTTTAAGGTTGTTGGTTTTTGCTATAATTGTAAGTTGTTTTTATCAGGAAACATCAGGATAAATGTGTGGGCTGCTTCACAAAGAAAACAGAGACAAGGGACCTTGGATTGGTGGGATCTAAGGAAACTTTCTATTGACTCAGTCTGTCAAAATATTACTCTTGTATCCTTCCTTATATTTGTTTTAAAGATACTCTGTTTTCCTGTAGGGTGCTTAGGCATGACTAGATGGGAACTTTTATCTGTTTTGTGTGACACTTAGGAGTATCTGGGTTGTTTCCCAGGCCCCCCAAACTTGGCCTGGAGGAAACAAGAGGCTATGTAACTTAGCTCACTTCATGTGTTATGTTCCCTGTATTCAAAACTTCTACTTGTTTAATGTCTGAATAACTTATGTCAGTGGTTAAAATCTGCTGGGAAAAGAGAGGCGTTTGTTGATGCTTGTGTCCTCACATCCGAACCCCACATACTATTTCTGAGCTCCTTGGTACACTCCATCTGTCACCTTCACACATCTTCTAGCCAGTGTCACACTAGGAGCAGCTAGGGAGGATGGTTTGCATGCAAATTGAGATGGGTGGACAGTATGCTTGGTGAATGGTGATATAAAGCTTTTCTGTATGTATTTATGTACATGTGTATAAGGCCAAATATTCATCGACAGCTTTATTCCTTCCTTGCCTTACTTTGCCTTGCCTGGCCTTTCCTTGTCTCACCTTCTGTTTTCACGAGTGTCCCAAGGCTAAATTACTTATTTCCTCTGTTTGGTCAAATTTCCTTTTTGCTGCAGAGCTGTAATCCACTTTAATAGGTGCTGTCTGAAGGGACTAATATTCACTTCATGCACATTTGCCTTATGCATTTCATCCACGTTTACCTCTACAGAAGTACAAGTACAAATGACATTACGGAGTAACACTTTCAACTTTATGGCAACCATCCAAAATGCAAGGGAGAGTGTCTTTCAGTAAATCTAGAAGTGAATATATTAGTTCCTCTAGCATTTTGCTTATCTGCTTTGATTGTTTCATTGCCTCATTTTGGGTTTTAGTGTATATCTTTGCCTGGTAGCTGTGCACAGCTACTAGGGCTATACGTGGATGATGCTATTTTTATGCTTAGTTCCAGGTCTTTTTATGTTTGGCTGCCGTTTGGCACTTTTGCTGCCTTGTGTTCTAGACCTGCACAGAGCAGCAGACAACAGGCCTCCCAGAAAGGAGGGCATTACCATAGTACAGAGGCTTATCTCATTGAACTTCATAAATGCTGGGCTTTGAATTTAAATTGTGGCAGTGGAGTGCCTCTCATGAAAAGGAATATGGTGTAAATAAAATGTGATAACATTTTACCACCTGATTTCAGATACCACAAGCATTTTTGTGAGGCAACCTGAGGCATACACAGATTCTGGTCTAGACTCTATATCTACAGAAATATTTGCACCTCATGAGCATCACAGACTTCAAAGGCTCTAGGAAGACACAGGAGTCAGTCTGTTCCATGTCTGGCTGCAGGCCCTTTCCATAATGCAAAAGCTGTATTATCTACTTTAAAGAAGTAAAGAAGAGGCTTAAGAATTTTACCCAACATATTGGTATTCATTAATAAAAAAATGTGCTGCACTGATTAAAATATATCCATTTTCTGTTCACTGCATCCTGCTACATCTGTCAATATTTTCCACTGCATACCATTTGAAATATGTAATAGGATGATTTTCTTTTCCTGGTGGTTAAAACATATGTGGAAGATTTTTTGTGAAGTGTGAAGAAAAATTAATATATGTAGGGAGAAGATGACTAAAACATTTTGAAAGAGGTCTTAAGACAAAAATATTTATTTTATTTTTGTTCTAGATAACATTCACGCTTTCTGAATAATTTTAACTATAAAAGAAACCAATACATTTAATTTAATTTTACAATGCTTTTTTGTAGCTTAGTA